GTCGTGCAGTACCTTTGACAGCCTCATAGGACTTTCAAGGTCATGTAGAAATGGAGATGTTTTAAAATTGCTTTCTTTTATAGGACTTACTTAAAAGATGGAGCTTTCTGAAGAACCATCCAGGTGTGTGCCAAAGTTGGTTGCCTAATGGTTTTCAAAACCATTGCCTTTGGGGCCAGAATTTTTCACGCTTGACTTCTCTATGAGAGTGTGATTTTATATGTTTGTTTTTCTCTGCATCTTCCTCTCAAGTTTGACATGAAGCCCTGAGGATGCACTGTGAAGCACCTACATAGAAGTTGAGATTCTAAGTTTAGGGTTATAAATTCTGCCTTAATTCTGCTCCATTTTATATTTGAAGCCTGGTTGTACAGCTCCATAACTTTTTCCTAGATATAAAATCATACCGTGTTTACACCCATAGACACATTTCTAAAATTACAGAATTTTATGCTACATACAATTCACAAACATTGCATATGTGAAAAGCATCCCATGTCTTGTGATTTATATAATATAACATAATTTAAGCATAATGTATTTCATTAACACTGCAAATGTATGGGCAACGCTTAAGTCTGAAACTGCTTCAGTGCTGGATTTGATCCTAAGAAAAGTTGTGCTGCTGTTTGTAAGGGAAATGGGGGATACCTAAGGTTTTGACCAAAACATTGAAAAGTATGCCTTAAAGTATGGGATGAAATATTTGCTTATATTAGTGAACCTGACTGGTTTAATACAAATCTTTTCTCTAGCATATAACAATGAAAAGGATGTCAAAGAATGCACACGTGTTCATTTTAGATGGTGGAAAATGTTATGGCAATAATTTGATGGTTTTGATCAATAGCATATGCCTATAACTATGTTGGCATAACATATATTCAGAACTTCCCAAGAGTTTTATATTTACAATGTCAGTGTTGACATCATGTGATCTTATTCTTATTTTCCCAACACGCTTATATTTATTATATGGCATCTTTGTATCAGAAGTATTGGTGGCACCTTTTTCTTGTACTTACCTTTCAACATGAATTATACCATCCTTAGCCTAACTTTTCATGCAGTCTGACCTTTGAGTGTATTCTTAAGACTGAATTTGAGTTATCAGTTACCAAGGTAACATGCTATGGTTTCATCAGTTGCAGGATTATAGTTTCTCTGCAGGATAAATCAGGAAGAGTAGATGGATTTTAAAGGAGAGGGTTTTTTTTTTTATTCTTTTAACTCTAGGCCAGTTTGCCTTGGAGAACTACTTGACAACATTAAATTCTTTTTATTTTTGCCTTTTCATTTTCCATGGGAGTCAGCACGTGAAAGCCTGTCTTGCAGCATTAGAGGTGCCAGTGAAACACAGTAGTTTGCTCTTATGCTTATACAGCCCCTGACAGATCTCCATGTTTAGCTGTGCCGCTAAAAGCGGCTGTTGTTTCCATCTGCTCCTTGTACCACACTATCAGAACTATCACCTAGCCATTCCTCCCCTGGCTCCGTGGAGGACTCCCTGATTTGCTACATACAAAATCCACCACATTATCTCAAACAATTTAAGTTGGCTGTGTGATTGCACCTGGATTTTGCCTGAAGTTGAATTATGGAATCATAAACTACGTTGCTGGGCCGATGGTAAACTTCAGTATAGGTAGCAAAGAGCACCTGGGGAATGGTGCCGTATTTCCTAGCTGGAATGAAGTAAAACATATGTTCATAGTGACATTGCTACAGGCATATGTGGGTTAATTTTTCTTGAACGATCTTGATACCTGACATGGACTCTGTAAGTCAAGATTAAACCTTTCTGTCTTTCAGTGCCCTAGGGATGGGCACTGCATCCTTTCAGTGCATCCCTCCCAGTGCAATGCTGGTAGAAATGTGAAATAAAACTGTGTTCTGGTTTTGTTTGCATCTTCAGAAGAAGAGCTTTTACTGTAAGTTATCATTTCGTCAGGAAGATGAAAAATTCACCCTTGTTTTGTGTTTGCTTGAATAGCAGACATTATTTATTTTGAGGAAACAAAAACACTTCTGAAAAACTTTCTCTTCCCTACCTTTTCCTGACGTTTTTCTTTCCTTTTCCCTTAAGCCTGTCTTTGCATCAACTCTATTTCTGCACTTTTTTTTTTTTCCTTTTCCCTCTCACTTTTGTATCATCCTTCTCTTTTTGATAGGGTCTTTAACTGGGCTGTATGTAGCCCAGCATAGAAGACAACCCCTTCAGCAGTACTTTCACTAAGTAGTTTGGCTAGTGATAGAAGCTTAAAAATGTATAAGGGAGACTATTTAATTTAACTGAATCAACAAACTGTTTTTTAAACAAGACATCAG